GCAACATTATAAAAAGTAAATCAAATTCTAAAAAATAAATAGAATTAAAACTTTTAAAAATAAATACATGAAAAAAGTAATGAAATAAATAAATTAAAATGAATAATTGCAAAAATAATAAAAACATAAATTAATTAAAATAAACAAAAATTTTTTTTTTATTATTTTATTTATTTGTCTTTATATTTCTACTTTTACCAGCCCTTTCTTTTATGGATTCATGTTTGATTAATATTGCTTTATATTGCCACACTATTTATTTCATATTGTATTTCTTCTTCTTTTTTTCTCCACTTTTATTTTATTATTCTTTTATTGATTTATTTTTGTAATTTTGTGCTCTCACTGCTGCATAGACAAGTATGGAGACTAATTAAAGATGTCAGTGGTGAAATATCAGATATAATAATATAGTATGTAGAGCCATCGTTGAGCTTTACAAGTTTCTAAGGCTGATTACAATTTGTTGCTGGTTTTTTTGTTCTTTTTGTAATAAATAAATAAATAAACAAAATAAATAATGAACCACGTATCAGACAGCATCATCTCCACATGACACCAAACCTGGTGTGGCTGCGTCCAGGACAGGAAGTGGATCCTGCCTTCCTCTGTGTACAGACGAGTTAAACCAACATGTAGCAGCACAGGAGGCGGCTAGCAGACCTGCAGGAGGCCAACAGACCAGCTCCTGACTCTCTTGGGGGGTTCCTGGACTCAGAGCTCCAACAGAAAGGGGACAGAACCCTAAGCTGCTTACAAAACCTCTAATGGGGACGAGATAAGAGCCGCATGAGACCAAACTACTTAAAACACACTGAGGTGGCGTACAGGTGAGTCAGGCTGGAGATTAAAGGTCAACATGATCCCACTCATGTGCACGAGTCGTGTTTTAACCGTGTGATGAGTTTTACCAGTGAAACAACGGACGAGCAACACGGCAGCGACGGCAAACATCCCTCCAGCGCTCTCCACAGCCGAGCGCAGAGAAAATGCAAATTGACAGTCAATTAGCGGAGCTGTGTGTGTTTGGAGAGGAGGTCAATTAAAGCCACGCAAACACGATCAGTCAGAGAGAGAACGCAAAGAGGAGCGAAGAGTCTGGAGCATCAAAGGACCAGAAACACAGCACAGAGGCAGGCTGGACTTAAAGAGACGGCTCACCGAGGGAAATCAGAAGCACGCAGAAAGATCCCGGGTGTCCTCACCGGGACGCCAACCGGCGACCTTCTAGCTGTGAGGCCACGATGCTAACCACTGAGACACCTGCAGCCCTGTTAATGTCACTTTAAACAGAAAACATTTGTGGGTGTTGTTTGGACAAAACAAGGCATCATTTTACTCTTCTGGATATTTTTTTTTCATCATTCTCTGCTATTTTATAGACGAACATATGGCCAGATAATCAAAGAACAACAACAGTTGACTAATTAAGAAAGATAATTAGATTCTGCTCCTCCTTTATAAGTGTGCCGTCACATTAACTAACACGCCGGTTCACTTAAAGGAGTCTATAGGATGTGAACATGGCAGCACGATGGAGCGTTGCCATGGGATACCATCCAAAGCGTGACCCCAGGAATCAGCAAAACCACCGACGGCTTCATCCTCTAAAACCTAAAACCTGACAGCAGGTTGGAAACTCGTGCTACAGTCTGGACCACATTCATCATCACTAGTAGCTGTAAAAACATCTTAAAAACAGCCAAACCTGAGCTGAACATCGTCACATTTAAATAAAAAATCACTTCATTCGTCACGTTTCCACTAAAAAAGTCATCAATAAATACCTGTTCACACAGATTCTGTAAAATATAAAAAAATCTGCATTTCTAGTCACAACCAGGAAGCTATCTGTGACTCGGCTACGATCAAGAGTCACATGACAACAATCTGGCGAACTTTTATCAACGAGCAGCATAAACGAGCCCCAAAAAATGAACTGTGCTTGAATTAAATAACATTTAATTTCATCTAAAGCAGTAAAACACAACTCAGCTGCAATATTAACTAAACACACATCATGTGAAACACTGAAGGGACCTTTTACTATATTTACACACTTTTCCTTCAGTAAATGCGTCTCTATAATCACACAGACAGTATTTTTGCTTCCACTGTATCTGCCAAAGCAGC